GCCGACTCGCATTTCTGGCCGCAAATTTTTTGAGTTGAGCAACGGATGAACGCTATTGAAAATGGTTCGGATCGGACTACTTTTGGATCGCTTTCCGGGTTAACCTTATTTTAAAGAGTCGTTATATATAAGAGTAGAATCGTGTACGTTATTCAATGGGGGACCGTAGCCCATTGTAGTGTTTTGTTTTTTGAAATTGGTTCGGCTTTTTGCTCTAACGCATGTCTTCTGCTCCCGGGATAGCGCGAGGCACGATAATGATAACGAACGATTCAGATCACTTTCGCTGGGACTTATAGCGAAAGTGAAATACTGCAGGAATTTCTAGCTGCTCAATAATGCAACGAGAACAAAACGATAGCATTCGAACATAGGGAACTTGAAACACTTTAAATCATTTTGGACGATACTTATTTTTCCCATCTTTTCATTATTTATTTAACCCTTTTACAAACTAGGTAATAAATCCAGCCTAAGTTGTTCATTAAGATTCTTAAGTAAACCGAGTAGAAAAAAAGGTTTTTCTTAATAAATCTTACGAACAGCATTCTTTCAAGAAAAACAAATGCCATTTTATGCAACTACATACATCCGAAGGGTTCCGTACCTAACTTTCTTTCGCTCTCTATGCTTTTGTTGCTTTTGTTTCTTACTTTTTTTTTTTTTTTTGTTTTTTTGTACAGATATTTATAGCTTAGCCACACACTTGTATATCGTTTTACACCATTTAAGACTGCAACTGCAACTGCAACATTAAAGTCAAGACTAATGCCACACCAAGCAGCATCATTTTCATCGTGTTTGATGTTATTATCATTCACGTCGCCGTATACATAGTCGTCGTCGTTGTCATCGTCATCGTCATCATTTTATTTGTCTGAAATGAATTTCTTTTTCTATTCATTTACATTCCTGGCGGCATTATTTTTGTACCTTATTGTTAGTGTTTTATTTGAACGTGTTAGTATACTGATATGTGCACTTGATATATACGTGCAAGCGTTCGTTCATTTGCGCTTGTATCTGTCTATCTAGACAACGATTGTTATTGTTGCTCCTGCTATTGCTGTTACTCTTAAGGTAAAGTCTTGTTACTATTGCCTGCCGCTGTCATGACTGCAGTATTTCAAACCCAACATTACCAGGACAAAGTATATATATATACATATATATATAGAATTGTATATTTATAGTATATAATTGTATATTTTGCTGGTATCTAACGCTGCGCTATATGTACTACCAGCACCAGTATAGCAAACAATGCAATGTTTTATTTGCCGTTTTTTTTATTGCCCTCGTGCCAACAGACAATAATCACTTCCTTAGATTAATGTCCTGTTTGCGATATATTACAATACATTGCTTTAGTGTTGTTGGTTGTGACAAATAAGTAATAAATAATCGGTCGCATACATGCGCATATACGGCGTACAAGTTTATTAAAAAATTTATTGGAAAATATTTACAGTGTTCGTTATATATGCATTTCACTTTGCTTCTCACTTTTAATTTAAGAGACTGATCTTAACAGCAAGCCGGCTTAGACT